ATGTATGTATGTATGTATGTATGTATGTATGTATGTGTGTGTGTCTGTAGGTAGGTAGGTAGGTAGGTAGGTAGGTAGGTAGGCAGGCAGGCAGGTAGGTAGGCAGGCAGGTAGGTAGGTGTGTATGTATGTATGTATGCATGCATGCATGCATGCATGCATGCATACATGCATGCGTGCATGCATGTATGTATGTATGTATATATGTATGTATGTATGTATGGATGGATGGATGGATGTATGTATGTATGTATGTATGTATGTTTTCATGCATGCATGTATGCATGCATGTATGCATGCATGCATGCATGCATGTATGTATGTATGTATGAACGTGTGTATAAATATATGTGTGTATGTATGTACGTACGTACGTATGTATGTATGTATGGATTGATGGATGGATGGATGGATGGATGGAACGATGGATGGATGTATATGTTTATACATATGCATACACATATACCTATACGACCACCCTTCGGGTGATAAGGAGGTTGTGGGGGAGAGGGGGGAACCAACATCTGAGTAAATCGATCTCACTATCGATCTCACTCAATGGAGCACCACGGGACATCACGGGACACTTCTCGATCTCAGTATCGATCTCAGTATCGATCTCACTCAACGGGACATCACGGGACACCACGGGACACCGCGGAACACCTCTCGATCTCAGTATCGGTCTAATTGTCGATCTCACTATCAATCTCACTCAACGGGACACCACGGGACACTGCGGGACACTTGTCGATCTCACTATCGATCTCACCATCGATCTCACTCAACAGGACACCACGGGACACAACGGGACACCTTGGGGCACCACATCGATCTCACTATCGATCTCACCATCGACCTCACTATCGATCTTACTATCGATCTCACCCAACGGGACACCACGGGACACCCGGGACACCCGGGACACCGCCCAGCCCAACTGGGACACCTCCCGGCCACCGGCGGACGGGAAAAGGACTTTCGCTCCTACTGACATTCGGGACACCCGGGACACCGCCCGGCCCAACCGGGACACCTCCCGGCCACCGGTGGACGGAAACGGATTTTCGCTCCTTTTCGGCCTAGCTACAGGAGGATCACGCGCAGCTTCGCCTCGCCCGCACTCACGCACGAAACCGAAACCGATTTCCCGGTGGGGGGTCTCTGTTTCACTGCGATCTCCCCCCCAATCTCTGATATAGTTCTATATATATATATATGCATGAATACATACATACATATATACATACATATTTACATATATACCTACCTACCTACCTACCTACCTACCTACCTACCGACCTACCTACCTACCTACCTACCTACCTACCTACCTACCTACCTACATACATATATACATACATACATACATACATACATACATACATACATACATACATACATACATACATACATACGTGCATACGTGCATACATAGCTACATGCTTACATACTTACATACATACATCTATGTAGCATGTACATAGAATTATAGATGTGTATATATATGTGTGTGCATACACATATGTATATGTAAATGTACGTGTGCATGTTCATGTCCGCCACCAGCTGGGGTCCCAGGACGGCGAGTGTACAGTCGGTGGATGTGGATATGCATACCGTCGGTCGTGGAGAGTCGGTTTGGGGGACTCAACCGATTCCAAATCACTTTAGGGCCTTCCTACTTCGCTGATCGTATGGGTTCCCATGTTCCTTCATCTTTAGGTGGTGGGCGGAAGCCCAACCTACTTCAACGCCTTCCTACTTCATGCTTCATACACACTTCTTCCGAGCGACGGGTATGGATTGATTTTGGCCTCGCAATCTGGGTCATCATCCGCGGGGACGCGGTCGCGCTTCGCACGTTGCGGTCTGGGCCAGAGAGATTGCGCTTCTCCCCTCGGGCGGCGCGAGGGCATGAGGATGACCGCGCGTCGCGCGGGGCGAGAAGTTAGCTGGCCTAGAGGATTGAGGCTCCAGGAGCGCCTTGGGACCTCCCTGGGCGTTGGAGCCGTCTGGGGCTCTGAGGTGGCCCAGCACTGTTTCCAGCCAGCAGGATGGGTGGGCAGGTTCGAAGTCCTGGGTTCGGCAAGGCTGGCGCCTCCAAGGCCCTTTTCCGTGCCCTGCGACAAGGAAAAAAACGGATCTGGATTGAAACATCTATGCCAGATTGACCCCAGGAGGGTTCTCGGGACTGAGTTTGAAGTGGTTCGGCCTCATTGAGGGATGAAGTGGGAGGAGGAGGAGGAGGAGGAGGAGGAGGAGGAGGAGGAGGAGGAGGAGGATCCCCCCTCCTGGCAGATTTTCTGTAGCACCAACCAGTTCAGACATCCAGCGGCCTCTAGCCCGGGCGTGTCTCTTGGAGTTGTGGACGGCGGTCAATGGAGTCGGAGCATGTTTCCAAATAATTTCCAGATGCCTGAACATTGTTTTAAACATGGACAAAGCATGCAAAAGCCATGTTCAAAGTATTGCTCGTCAGAGAACATACGAATGTCAACCACAGTTTGAGCTCCAGGATCGGATTGTTAGGGTGACCATTGTCATGGCATCCACAATCCTGGAGCATCCTCGAGCCTCCTGGGCAGCTCTCGGAGCTTCCCGTGGCAGTCCCCCGGGCGCTCGTGGATCGCGTTTTTCCGGGCGCCCAGACCGCATCGCGCCTGGAACATCCTCCCTCCTCCCTCCTCCCTTCTCCCTCCTATTTCCTCCGTCCTCCCTTTTCCCTCCTCCCTCCTCATTCCTACCTCCCTACCTCCCTCCCTCCCTCCTCCCTCCTCCCTCCTCCCTCCCTCCTCCGTCCTCCCCCCTCCGTTTCCTCCTCCATCCTCCCTCCTACCTTCTCCATCCTGCCTCCTCCCTCCTCCCTTTTCCCTCCTCCATTCTCCCTCCTTCCTTTAACCTCCTACCCACCTCCCTCCTCCCTCCTCCCTCCTCCCTCCCTCATGCCTCCTCCCTCCTCCTTTCCCTCCTCCTCCCTCCTCGGTCCCTCCTCCTCCCTCCTACCTCTATCCCTCCTCTCCTCCCTCATCCCTCCTCCCTCCTCCCTCCTGCCTTCTCCATCCTCCCTGCTCCCTCCTACCTCCTACCTCCTCCTTCCCTCCCCCCTCTCCTCCCTCCTCCCGCCTCCCCCCTCAGTCCTCCCTCCCTCTTCCCTCCTCCCTTCTCCCTCCTCCCTCCTCTTGCCCTCCCTCCTTTTTCCTCCCTCCTACCCCCATTCCTTCCTCCCTCCTCTCTCCCTCATCCCTCCTCCTTCCTCCTCCCTCCTACCTTCTCCCTCCTACCTTCTCCCTCCTCCCTTCTCGCTCCTCCCTCCTCCCCAATACCTCCCTCGCTTCTCCCTCCTACCTCCTCCCTCCTCCCTCTTACCTTCCTCCCTCTTCCCTCCTACCTCCTACCGCCTACCTCACTCCCTCCTCCTCCCTCACCCCTCATCACTCATCACTCATCCTTACTTCCCTCCCTTCTCCCTCCTCCCGCCTATCTCCTCCCTCCTACCTCCTACCTCCTACCTCCCTCACTCCTCTTTCTCCCTCCTCTCTCCTCCCTCTTCCCTCCTCCATCCCTCCTCCCTCGTTCTTCCCTCCTCCCTCCTTCCTCGCTCCCTCCTCCCTCCTCCTACCTTGTACCTTCTACCTCCTACATACCTCCCTCCCTCTTCCCTCCTCCCTTGTCCCCTTCCTTCTCCCTCCTCCGTTCTCCCTCTTACCTCCTCCCTCGTACCTCCACCTCCCTCCCCCCTCCTCCCTCCGCCTGCCCAAACTTAACCTCCTCCTCCTCCTCCTCCTCCTCCTCCTCCTCCTCCTCCTCCTCCTCCTCCTCCCTGCGACGGTGATGTTTCTGCCGATGTTCGGCATTTGGGGAACCTTTACCACGCCTTGGCACCGTCAATGGACAGCTCGGGACGAAGAGCCCTTTCCCGAGAGGTGTTCAAGGTTTTGACGATCCGCGCGGATTTCTTGGATCTGCGGCGCCTCCAGCGCCGCCCCTGGCGCGCTTCGCGCGTCAGGCAGGGGGTGCCAGCGCAGATCCAAGAAATCTGCGCAGATCGTCCAAAGTTTACGCCAATGCAATTGTTGATTCCCCCATGGAGGCCGCGGACTTCACAGGACCTTGGGAGCCTCCTGGAGGCTGTCGGTGGTCGTTAATTCCGAGACTTGCAGGTACTTCGAGGAATTCTCGCCGCCGCGGCTGGGCGCGGTTCGGGTAACCAGCGGGGATGGCGCCTTGGAAAGTCTGGGGTCCAGGGACCGAGCTTAGCTTGAGCGGGTTTGGAGGGGCGGGGAGCTAGTGCGCCTCCTCGCGCAGTTCTTATGCTACGCTGCGTCTTCGGGGGACCAGTTTTGCGGTCTTTCCTGATATCCGACGCGTGGTCGGCGCGGACTTGCCGTGCAATCGGCGTGGATACGACGCGGATTCGACGTGGATGCGGCGCAGATTCGACGCGCCCGACAGATGCAACACGGACTCGACGCGGATAGCGGCGCGACGGGATGGAGACGGTTCTCCGAAGATGCAGCACCATTTATGAGAAATCTGCGGCCCAGGACTCGGTACGATCGGAATGGGTACGGAAAGAACGGGTACTGGATAGATTTGCAGCTTCCCGAGAGACATGTTGGACGGGCCGATCTCGTTTCGGCTCGAGCGTTTTGGAGAGAATTGTTATCCATGGTAGCGTGAGCGGATGCGCCCCCAGCGCCGAGAGCTGCAGCCTGCGATAGAGCCGCGGCGGGCCAGGCCCGCAGAGGGCTCCGAGGCGCGGGCCAGAGCACAGGCGCTGGAGGCGACCAGCTTCGAGGAACCAGACGAGGGCGAGAACGGGTTCGAGGTGCTGTCGGAGAAGGACACGACCCAGGTGTGGGTCTCACTGGCAGCGCGGCTGGTGAGGCTGGCCTTCAAGAGGCGCTGTTGGGCGCACCCAGGAGAGCTTCTCTGTGCGATCAAGAGACAGGGTCAAGATGGCAGCTACGGTCCAGGACGTCCGGGCGCTTCGACAGGCTCTCGAGCATGTGCAGGGAGAGCTACGGCAAGCACGAGCGGACGCGGACGCCGCGAGTAGAGCGGCGCAGGAAGCTGCGCAGCGTGCGCAGCAGGTGCTCGGGCAGCAGGGTGCAGCCGCAGCGGCGGCGGCGCAAGCGCCAGACCCTGGACCTGAGAGGATGGCCGCGGAGATGAAGATGATAGGCAACCCAGAGATGTTCGTGGGGCCAAGCCGCCATGGAGAGACTGGTCGGTTGTGTTCGAGGCGTTCGCAGGTGCGACGAACCCGAACATGGCGGCGGCGATGGCCAGGGCGAAGCGAGAGGCAGAGTCGGTGCTGATGACGAACTTCGAGCCCGGAGACATGCAGTTGTCCAGGAGGTTGGGGTACTGGCTCATCCAGACGTGCAGGAGCCAGGCGCTCGACGTAGTGCTGAACGCGGGGAAGCTCGAGGGATTCGAAGCCTGGCGACAATTACACCTTCGATTCGAGCCTCAGGCGGCGAGCAGGTACGCTGGGCAGCTGATGGCGCTGCTGGTCTGGGATTTCAGTGGTGAGATGATGACACGCCTGGAAGCCTTCGAGAGGGAGATCAGTCTGTACGAGTCGGCGTCGGAGGAGACCCTCTCGGACGCGATCAAGGTTGGCATCGTGCTGAGGCCGTTGCCCGAGTCCCCGCTGAGGCAGCACAAGATCATGAATGCGGAGAGACTCAAGGAGTGGCCCAAGTTCAGGGAGGAGATCCTGACTGTTCGACGAGCCCAGGCCGCAGCGGCGGCAGCGCAGAACGAAGTGGCCCCGATGGATCTCTCAGCGTTCAACTACCAGGGTGGCATGGGGCGCTGCAGGATCTGCAACGGCAAGGGCCACGACGAGAGGAACTGCTGGCACCGCAAGGGTGGAGCTGGAGCAGGCAAGGGCAAGTTGGACAGCAAGGGCAAGTCGAGAGGCGACTCCAAGTCGAAGAGTTCCTCGGAGGGTGGAAAAGGCAAAGGGCGGCAAGACCGGCAAGGGGCCGAAGTGCTTCGACTGCCAGGGGCACGGGCACATGTCCAATGACTGCCCGAAGAAGAAGAACAACCTGCACATGATGGAGCCGGAACCCGAGAAGGCGCCGCGCGGGCTGTGGCTCGCGCCGTTCACGATCGACGAGAAGGGCGTGGCGCAGAAGGCCTTCGACCTGCTGATCGAGGGTGGCCTGGTGGGCGACAAGCTGGTGCACGAGCTGAGCAGGCTCGGTGCAGACGGCGCGGGCATCCCGCAAGATGGTGCTCGGTGTCGATTCGTGTGCAGCTACGACGGTCGTGCCATCAGAGCTAGCGCCAGACTGCCCGACGTACGAGAATGTCATGAGTGCGAAGGGTGAAGGCTACAGGACCGCGAACGGCGGCTGGGTGGCCGACGAGGGCACTAAGGAGCTCATCGGGTCGGTGCGCAATTCGGACGTTCGGCGCAGGTGAGAGGCATCAAGGCTAGGGTCGCGAAGGTCAGCAAGGCACTCGCCTCTGTCTCGGAGATGGTCGACGCTGGCCACCGGGTCGTCTTTGACGTTGGCGGCAGCTACGCGCATAACAAGTCGACAGGGGTGATTGCACCGTTCCAGAGGCGCAACAACGCGTACGAGATGGAGATGGAGCTGATGCCGTACAGCAAGGCGGAGGACGTGATCGGCCGCGCGGAGGCTTGGTCCAAGCCCAGCGCGAACGGCAAGAAGCAGAAGGATATCTGCATGGTGAGGAGCGACGACGCAGGTGATGGAGCTGGATCGAGTCAGGCAGCTGCGTCGGCAGCAGCAGCAGAACCAGTCCAATAACCTGTTCAACCAGAAGCGGTACCTCCACCACCTGCCCCGGCGGTTGCTCGGGAGCGGCCGGCAGTGAGAGCGGCGCGGAGACCGCGCGAGCCGACCCAGCAGGAGCGAGAGGACCATGAAGTGTCGCGCACGCCGCATCGAGCTTGGCGCAGGCACTGCGTTGCAGGACGCGGGCGAGCTGAACCTCATGCGACGAGGAGCCATGCGGAGGATGCCATGCCAGTCGTGGCGTTTGACTACGGCTACCTCGGCAGCGGCGAGGACGCGGCCCCGATTCTGTTCATGAGGGACTCGCTGCACAGGTACACGGCGCGGAGGTGTTGACCTGCAAGGGGGCGGCGCACACGCGCAGCGCCGACATGCTGGCGAAGTTCGTGGTCAACGGCGGCTACAAGAAGGTGGTCTTCAGGTGCGACAGCGAGCCGAGCACCATCGCCCTGAGGGACGAGGCCGTCAAGAAGCTCAAGAAGGACCACGGCGTGGAGTGCTTGCTGGAGACCTCGGCGGTTGGAGAGTCGCAGTCGAACGGTCTAGCTGAAAGAGCTGTCAGGGATATGAAGGGCCTGGCGAGGACCCTCAAGCACGCGGTGGAGGAGATGCACGGAGTCGCGATCGGCCCGAAGCATCCGTGCCTGCCGTGGATGGTGAGGCACGGCGCAGCAGTCCACAATCGAGGTCAAGTGGGCTTGGACGGGCGCACGCCGTGCGAGTTGAGGAAGGGGCGCGCTTGCAAGAGGGCGCCCCCGGCGTGCGGCGAGAAGGTGTTCTACCTGCCAGTCGGCAAAGAGGGGGTCGAGGCTGGTGGACAGGTGGCTGGAGGGCGTCTTCTACGGGATCCGCGACGACAGCGACGAGGTGTACGCGGCGACGCCGAAGGGCGTGATGAGAGCCAGGAGCGTCAAGAGGATGCCACTGGCAGCGAGGAGCGACAAGGCTCTTTTCTCAGAGCTGCAGGGCGCACCGTGGCGACCAGTTCCAGGCCAAGAAGTGGGGGACTTGAAGTACCACCCGCCATGGCGAAGGTGGTGGCGGATCAGGTGGTGCCGGACGTGGATCTGCCCCCTGTTCCAAGACCTGTGGGTCATCCTGCTCCGAGGAGGGTCTACATCGGGAAGGGCGGAAGGACGTGGAGCTGCGGCGCTACGGCTACACCCCGGGTTGCAGGGGCTGCGCAGCTGCTCGGGACAACCAGCGCGCGATCATGCACAGCGAGGAATGCCGAACGAGGATCGAGAAAGCGATGGAGGACGACCAGACGTTCGGCGGTGGAGCTCGGGTGGCAGAGGCTCACCTACGGCGAGTAGCTGGTGAGCGACCCGAGAGAAGTGAAGACGAAGAACCTGGGGCCAAGCGAGGACGAGTCGGTGATCGTGGACCAGTCGGTGAACCAGGGGCGCCAAGCTCATCTGGGACTGCTTCGGGAAGCGCTCCGGCGGCGGCGGTCGTGGCCATGGGCGACGCGGCGGAGATCGGCGTGCTGCTGGAACAGCTCGGTCTCGACAGCTTGGATTTGCAGGAGGTGTTCAACCCAGGGGAATTCGCCAAGGGAGCTCCAAAGTTCAACCTGAAGCCAGGAGTGGCGATGGACCTCAGGACGGGCTGGACTTCCGGCTCGAGGAGCAGAGGAAGCGAGCGAGAGCGGAGATTGAGGAGGGAGACCCTGCCTTCCTCATCATGTCTCCTGTATGCACCCCGCTCTCACAGCTGATGGAGTTGCTGAAGGCGAGCGGCAAGCGTGATGAGGTTAGGTTTCAGAGGCTGCTCGCGGAGTGCAAGGTCTTCCTGGGCTTCTGCATGTAGCTGGCGGCCTACCAGCATTCGAGGGGGAAGTGGTTCCTGTTCGAGCACCCTTGGACGGCGTCAAGCTGGAAAGAGGAGTGCATCAAGAGCATCAGGGAGCTGCCCGGCGTCATAGTGGTCAAGGGCAGCCAATGTGTGTGTGTGTGTGTGTGTGTGTGCGTGTGTGTGTGTGTGTGTGTGTGTGTGTGTGTTCGGAGCCAAGTCATACTGGCCGGACGGCTCGGAGGGCCTCGTGGCGAAGCCGACGGGCTGGATGACGAATAGCCGCGAGGTGGCGAAGCAGGTGGGGATCGTGTGAAACGGCTCCCACGAGCATGTGCACCTCCCGGAGAGGAGGGCGAAGGCGGCTGAGAAGTACCCCTCAGGGCTGGCGAAGGCAATCCTGAAGGGCATCAGGCACGAGCTGAAGATCGGTAAAGGGATCCATGCGTTCGAAGTCGGTCAGACCGCGGAGGAGCCAGAGATCCTGGACCAGGCGACAGGAGGAGATGGCGACCTTCTACGACGGGATCAGCGGTGCGGTGCTGGACCCGGTAGGCGTCAAGAACGCGCGCATGGACGAGATGGCCTACATGAGCAGGCTCGGAGTGTTTGAGAGGAGAAAGATTTCCAAGGCGCTGCAAGCGACGGGGACCAAGCCGCATCCAAGCGACTGGGTCGACACCAACAATGGCGACGATCAGAATCGCGGCGACCCCGCCGCTGGAGGGCCTGAGGATGATTCTGTCTATGGCGATGACAGGGCGGCATGAAGATCGAGTGCTGACCTTCATCGATATCTCAAGAGCGCATCTACACTCGGAGCTGCAGAGGCCAGCGTACTTGAAGGCGCCAGCGGAGGATCTAGAGTGCAAGGATGACGAGTGCTGGCTGCTGCTGGAGGCCATGTATGGGCTGAGAGATGCCGGCTCAGCATTCGACTTGAAGGTGGAGGACATCATGGTGAGGATCCTGAAGTCGAAGCAGGGCGAGTTCTCGCCTTGCATCTACCAGGTTGGCAAGCTGGTCGTTTGGAGGCGCGGCGACGATTTCGTGGCGCTCGGTGGGCGAAAGGATTCAGAGGCTTTCACGGAGAACCTCGGCGAGCACCTGATCGCGAAGGTACGATGGGGCTCTGGGACCTGACCCGCAGAGCGGCGACATCGACGAGATCGTGGTGCTGAATCGCATCGTGAGGTGGGTCAGGCCGAACGGCAACGACGCGGAGAAGATCGAATACGAGGCGGACCCGAGGCACGTGGAGATCATCCTGGCCTAGCTGGGCTTGCAGGGCAAGGAGAGCAAGCCAGCGGTCACGCCGGGGATCAAGAGGCAGGAGCTGGATGGAGAAGCACTACAAGGACGAGAGCGGGCCATCTACCGCTCGGTGTGCATGCGCATCCAATACCTGGCGCAGGATCGACCTGATTTGCTGTACGCGGCGAAGGACTCAGCTCGAGTGATGCAGGATCCGACGACTGGCGGGTGGCAGGCCATGAAATGGATCGGTCGGTACCTCGTAGGTGCCCCGAGGCTGGTTGTCGAGTATCCACGGCAGGCAGATCGGCGAGTTGCTCAAGTCTATGCGGACAGTGACTTCGCAGGCTGCCTGAGAAAACGCAAGTCTACTTCATCGTGTACGGTGATGATTGGGAAGCATTGGATTAGAAGCAGTTCGACAACCCAAGGGTTCAATGCTCTATCTACTGGAGAAGCGGAGTTCCACGCGCTGGTGAAGGGCGGCAGTATCGGGCTCGGCCTCAAGACTCTCGCAAAGGACATGGGTGTAGACCTCGAGATCGTGCTGAAGTGCGACGCGACGGCGGGAAAGGGCATCGCATAACGTCGTTGAGTCGGACGAGTTCGACACCTACATACACCTCTGCTGTGGCTGCAGAGGGCTGCGCAGCAGAAGAAGCTGCGCGTCAACAAGATGACAGGTCTCGAGAACATCAGTGACATCGGTACGAAGCACCTGGACGGGCCCCTGATTAAGAAGTTCCTGGCGGCGATGGGGTTCGTGGCGAGAGCAAGTCGGAGCCGACTGGCCCTGCGGGCAGCGCTGGATGGATGAGTGGTGATTGAGACATCCCTCAGAGCGCTTGAGCTGGCGGCGGCGTTTGGCCGCGCGATTTTGATTCTAAGGAGTGGTGGATCGCCACGCTCCGCTGACTTTGTGCCGGCCGTAAGAGTCGGCGGCCTGCCACGCGGAAGGAGCGCGGAAGGAGCGCGGAAGGCCGGGAGGGCTGGATAGATTTGCAGCCTCCCGAGAGACATGTTGGACGTGCCGATATCGTTTCGGCTCGAGCGCTTTGGAGAGAATAATTATCCAGGTACGAAGACCCGCAGCTTTTTCTGCTTCATTTGGACCGGACTCACTGTCGGTGTCGCCGTGGGCGTGATCCACTTGAGACAAACGGTCGCCTGCCCGACAGCGGCCGCTGCCGAATTCGGACAACATTTGATGCCGGGCATTGCCCCCATTTTCGTCGTACCTCTTCCGGGCGTCCGAGAAGACCGCTCGCCATCCGCGGTCCGCGATTCGGCGGTGGGTATACCCCGCTGGGGCGCGACGTTGGCCGCGCCCCTGCGCGGTCCGCGTCCCGTCCTCGCCAGGGCCGCGAAAGGGGGCCGCGAGGTCGCGCGGCGCGACGATGGGCTGCGGCTAGGACGCTGAATTTGGCATCGCTCAGACGTGTGCCTTCTTTCGCGGCGAGACCTCTCGATCAGAGGGGAAAACTTTGCCGATACCGCTACCCTTCCTTCGTTTTCGCCCATTCGGGCTTCCTGGTAGGCCCTCGTCCCCAGCGTTGGATTCGCCTTGCAATTCCCGTCAGATCGCACCCGGGGAGAGGTCCGCGGAGTAGCGGTGCGGGTACCTCTTGGTAGCCCCATTCGAGGAGAATTTGGGATCATCTCGCGACAAGAAAAAATACAGTCAACCCGAATAGTAAGGATGGGCAGCGGTCCTAAGGGTACCCTTGCATCCTCGCCTCCTCGGCCCATCCTTGGCCACTTCCGTTGGCCGCGCCCCGCTCGAAAAGCTTCGACGTGGCCTTCCAAGGCCCCTGCATCCTTATCGCGCATCCTCACTATACGGGTCGACTGTAGGCGCACGATGCCGAGACGTGCGCGGGAAGTGGGCGTCCGAGCGACTGCAAGGCTCCGGAGAGGGGCTCCCAGTGTTGTGTGTGGGAGCAGCGCGCGAAAGACCAGAGCGCCTCCTGCACTCCGGCACCCAAAACCTCTCACGCCCTGAGCCCGTGTGTGGATTTAGGGTTTAGGGTTAAGGCGGGCGCGGCCCTCTGCAGGAGGAGTATTTGAAAATAGTCAAGGAATAGTCTGGGGACTATGTTTTGACTATTTTTGAACTTTTTGGTATAGTTCTTTGTTCTCCCAAGATCTGCCTGTAGGAGAGCATGCCCGACCTAAGTTTTGGGTTTTTGGTGTCGGCTGAGGAGCCACCTCAGCCCCCAGCAGACTCCCGGCTTTGGTGTGCTCGAGCAGCACACACAGGATACCACAGGAGTCGGTTGGGGGTCTGAGGTCGCCCAGTACTGGTTCCAGCCAGGAGGAAGGGTGGGAAGTGGTTGGATGTTCTGGGTTCGGAGCTATGTTTTGTTTTTAACGGTTCGCTTCCCAGGGCCGTTTTCGGGCCCAGAGGAAATTCACACACATTGTGCTAGCAGGACCCCAGGACGTGTCCGGGTACGTACCGACTTTCCGCGGATTTGGCCTCGAACTCCCTTCCTGACCGATGTGCAGTGGTCCTAACGAGTTCAGACCCAGGGCCGCCTCCAAGTTACCCAGATCCGGGTCGGGGAAGCTCTTCATTGCCCAGGTTCGCCGTGGCCAGACGAAGGTCCCTTCGTTCCATTTCGGCGCTACGTTTAGCAGCACGATGTTTCCACCTTTCGCAGGCGGCCTAGCATAAGATTTCGGCCACGCGCGGAAGGGGGGTTAGGGGGAGGCGGGAAGGCTTCGTAGAAGTGCGGGTTTTGTCTGTAGATGTGAGGTTGGCGCTGTCTAAGAAGCAGCCGCCTCGTGATAAGATGCTTTCCCCCCTCGCCCTACCTCCCTCTGCGCGCTGCAAACGATTGTTTATGATTGTTCGGTAGCAAATCGTGCTGTGCATCCGTGGCCTGTGTAGAGACTCTCCGCCGGAGCCGCGCGGGGTTGCGAAAAACACAGCAGTTCTTCGGGCCCTCTCGCGGCGCGAAGCGTGGAGGGAGGTGGCCCAGGAGTTTGGGCTCGATTCGGAACCGGCTTGATCGTGTGAGTTGGCCCAGCACAGGGCTGCACCTTGACGGTGTTTTGGCGATTTCGTGGGGCCGTTTTCGTTTCGACTTCGTTTTGCGGTAAAGGCGGATTGAAGACAAACGGGGGAAAACGAGAACGAAAAACACCCCGTTTCGGTTCAGCCCTGGCCCAGCACTGGTTCTGGCCAGCAGGTAGGGCGGGCAAGTCCGAGGTTGTGGATTCGGATCGGTGTTGTACCTTTCTTGACCTCGGGGGGCCGATGTCGGGCCTTGTGACAGTGAGCCACTGATCTGGAGCAAAACGAACGGCACCAGGTGAACCCCAGGAGGGGTGCAGAGATTGAGTTTGAGCGGATTTGGCATCATCCCCCTCCTGGCCGATGTTTGTTCAGGTTCCAAACCAGTTGAGACTTCCCCGACACCTCCGCCGTGCATGAAAGAGGCCGGCGTTCAGGCCGATGCCCTTCGCGTCGTCAGGAGACTGAAGGCGAACATGGCAAAGGCGGGACGGGAAGCGGTGGGGGGCCGCTGGCATGTTTTCGCGGCGCGCAGGGGGTAGAATGCCTCTTGGAAGACAAACGGGCTTCTACTACGAATGCCACCCCGTCGGGGGAAGGAAAAGCGACACCACCACCACCTGGGGGGCCACCTCTTGCGAGGAGGTCCACGATGCCTCCCCGAGCTGGGGATGGGGCGTGTCACGTTTCTTGGCCGCGGGTGGAGGCCGCACCACCAGAGGGACCCGCCCCCTGGCTCCTCCTGCTGGTCCCTGGTGGTGGTGGCTTCGTGCTTGTCTGCTCCACGTTCTGGAGCGTGCCCTTCGATTGTCAAGACTATTTCTCGCACCCAGGGGCATGTGCAGGGCTGGGAAAGAGGTGAGGGTGGGAGGAGAAGGAAGACGAGGGGAGGCGGCTTCAGACCAGGTGACTCCTGCCCCGTCGGGCCCCTGGTCTTCTGCTTCTGTGCCGCACTCGCAGTACATTCACTTTGTCTGCTCGCTCCGCCGTAGTCGGCGCTCTCTTGTTTTTTTTTGTTTCTTGCGACACCTGCTCGCGTTGGGAGAGGGGGAGGCGGCCAGGCTGGAGCAGGAGAGGCTGGCCGGCCCAGAGGGGGAGGAGGAGGAGGAGGAGGAAGAGGAGGAGGGGGTGCACGAGGGTCAGAGGCGGGGAGAACATACGGGGAAGCGGCAGCAGGAGGGGGAGGGAGAGGACGAACACGTGGACGAGAAGGAAACGGAGGAAGAGAATGAGGAGGAAGACGAGGAGGATGAAAAGGAGGAGGAGGAGGAGAAGGAGGAATAATATGTGGAGTAAGAGGAGGAGGAGGAGGAGGAGGAGGAGGAGGAGGAGGAGGAGGAGGAGGAGGAAGAGGAGCTGGCCCGCCATTGTGGCGCGGAGCTGAGCTGCGCGCTGCACCTCGCCACTGAGCGGCACGTGCGTTGCTCGTTCGGCCGGGCCACAGTCTTCAGAGAGAAGCTCTGGAACTATAGAACCTGCTGCGGTGGGTGTGCCAGGAACGATGACGATGATGACGATGCTGACGATGATGACGACGATGACGATGCTTTCTCAATGCTGTGGCACAAACTGTATGCACGACGTGACAAACTGTGGGGATGGCTGGGGTCGCCTCTGGACGTGGGCCAGGGACCCGGAAGAGCACTAATGGCATGTCCGCCCCAGCGCCGCAGGCTTCCCCAGGGCAGCGGGGGCCCCCCTCCCCGCTGGCCTCGTGGCAACGTCGCGTTTGTTTGTTTGGTTTTCTCTTATTCTTCTTCTTATTATTATTCTTCTTCTTCTTCTTCGTCTTCTTCTTCGTCTTCTTCCTTTGTTGTTTTCTCTCTCTCTTTCTCTCTCTCTCTCTCTTTCTCTCTCTCTCTCTCCCTCTCTCTCTCTCTCGCTCTCTTTTGGGGAACAAGCGTTGGCACAATCGTGCAGTTTGCGGAGGTCCGTGCGCATGTTTCGGATGTGCGATGGGCCCCGTTCCCTGGCTCGCGGAACGCACCGGGGGGCGGCGCCAGCGGCGCCGCTTGGGCGTTTCAGCGCCGATTCAAAAACATCCTGCGCGGGCTCCCGAGATTTTATATGCATGCCTTGTCCGTTCCCCTGGGATCGGGGGGCCCGGGCGTGCTCGTTCATCGAAGGTCTTCGGGGGCCCATGGCCACGATTTGGCACAAACGGTTTGCAACAATATATTACATGTGGCAAGCCGTGTGTTCGAGAAGCTTACGACATTCCGCCGACCCTTGAGGAGGGATATAATCAACGAGTGAGGCTTTCTGAGGCCTCTTGGGGTCCTTCTCGGGGCCTCGTTTGGGTTTCTTGAGGGCCTCTTGGGAGTCTCTCGGACGCGTGCTGGCGGTCTCGGGGGCCCTGTTGGGGCGGACGGCTTCGAATGTCAGTTCTAGTTGCCTGTTTGGGCTCCTCTGGGGCCCTCCTGGGGTTCGCTTGGGTCATTTTGGGCGCCATTGTGTTAGAACTGCCCGCGTTCCCGCATCTATTCGGCACAATTTTTGCTGTGCGCCGCTTGCGGAGGCTGGTCGCTGGGGTGTCCGATCTCCTCCGGGGTGTCCGACCTCCTCTCCCCAACAAAAACATACATTGTTTGCAACATCTTCCAAGAGCGGCGAACGTATTCATGTTCGCCCTCGCGTTTTGGATTCTGGGTCGCGATTCCGCGGGTGCGCGGTCGTAAAAGGTACGTTCCGCGCGGGCATATGCGACAAACGCGCCCCATTTCCGCGGGGTCAGGCCCAGGGGTCCGGCCCACGATGCCACGGACACGGATATGCTTTTCGCCCAAGAGTTTTTGGAGGTCCTGGTCGGCACCCCTTCCCCGCCCCTCCAGGTTTTCACCAGAGGGAGGGCGAGGGCAGGGTCATTGCGGGTGGAGTTTCCCGAAGGTCGAGGTTGATTTGGGCGTGGTTTGGCGTCTGGCCTCGGCTCCCTGGCAGAACTGGCGCCGATGCGGGAGTCGACTTGGAGGACGTGCGTCATGCGAAAAAGGTGGTCCTCCGGGGGATGGGCTGGGTTTGCGAATGGCTGTCGTGGGTGCCATTTTTTGTGGCGGGGCGCCCCTTTCGCCTCGTCGTCGTCGCCAACGCCTTTCGCCCCGTGCTCATCCTCATTCTCCGCTTGGGGGCGTAGGTCGTTTTCCCGATCATGCTGCCAATCCGCCGGCGTGGGTCCAGCTTCCTCCCTCGTCGTCCATCTCCCGTTGCCTTTCGTGCACCCCCTACGCTCCATGACCAATTCTTACTCAATAGATTGCCCTCTTTCGCCAGATATTGTCCGAGCGGGGCCTTTTCTCTCCCGCGTATCATTTGTCGGTACGCGTAGGATTTCAATCCGTAATTTGTCATACGATTTTGTCGCAACTGATTGGTTTATCCAAATGGTGTTCATTCCACAGCGTTGGCCTCATTTCGGCGCGATGCCCCTTTCATTCAGAATGGCCCTTTCGCTCAAGCGCGGCCACACTTGTGCGTCTGAGGCATTATGGTCGTCGTGGTCTCCCCCTCCCTTCCCCTCCTCCGCCCGCCACGGGTCCTCCTCCTCCTCCTCCCGCTGATTATTTTCCTGGCCTTGTTTCTGCTATTCCTCATCGTCCTCCTTCCTCATCCTCGTCTTCCTCGTGTTCATCATCCTGCTCATCTACCACCTCCTCCTCCTTTTCCTCCAATGTAATGCAGTTAGAGGTTGTTGAAAACGGCTTGGGCTTCGTTCAAAGTTTGCAGATTTCCGCGCGGTGATTCAACGAAGCGCACCCGCAAACGATAAAAAAAGGTGCCCCACAACTATAGAAATAAACATTTCGTGGCGAACACGTGGAAACTATGAGCAAGGCGCAAACTATGACAACACGGGTTGGCAACCAGAGAAAGTAGTGGGCGAGCCCCTCGGTCCCGCGGACTAGTGAGGACACAGGCGAAACGGCATCGACGTCAAGACCGTTCTGGAAGAATCCTCAGTGATCGGCGGGCCAACGGCGACTCGTATCCTCATCCTCACCTCCCTTGGTAAGGCCTCCCTTATCTTGGAGGGGTATTGAACACGTTTTGGAAACGTCTTGAAAACGTATTGAACACGGTCCAAAGCAGCAGGCTGCGATCAGTTAGGGACCCAGTCGGAAGATACAACGATAAGAATAATACGAATTGGGGAGATCACAAAAACGGAATGACTTGGACCATATTCACGGGAACAAGGCTTGAAGCAGATTCCTTGGAGGAGTGCAGGTCACTTTGCTTCAAAGTGACCAGTGCGCATCCCCAGCTTGCTGCCCTGTGCTGCGCACAGCCCGCCCTTGTTGCAGCGCCATGTTGCTGCTGCGTGCTGCGGTATGCTCCTGCCGTCAGTTGCCTACTAACTTGCTCTTGCGAGTACACGTCCAGACAAACACAGCATTAACAGACATACCTGGAAACTATGTCCAAACAGTTGGAAGCCATACACAACGTTCCGTACAACCCGCGTTGAAACACAATAGAGAATATGTTTTGTGGCGGAGACCCAGAAACGACAAAACAAACACGACAGATGACAACTATTAAACAACGTTTTTGGGCGTGCGTGTTGCATGTTCCTCTTTTAAGAAGGCCCAGGGATTTGTCACGGCCATTTTTGTGTTCGCGCCTCACGGCGTGGTCATTTGCTGGGGAAGGTCAGCTATGACACCCTTCGGCGGATAGAGACAAACGTCAGCGCAATGGGAAATGATCGATGGGAGGGATAGGAATCCAAACATAGTCTTTGACTATGCTTTTAGTATTGTTGAGCATGATGGGTGAATATTTTGTGTTTTTTATGCTTCGTTCCAAGTCCCCTGTAGGGGGACAGGCCCGACTTAAGGGTAGGATGTCAGATGTGGCACGGACGCACCTGGCTTGTCTTCCTCTTTGCCGTCCCACCCCCCTCCCAATCAAACATCATCTGTTTCGTCCTCCTGCTTCCACTTTTTCCCAGCACATCTGAAAGTGCCTCGCAACCATCAAGTGCTCGCGAAATCCGGCTGAAAGCTTCTGACTAGATCTCATTCCTCCCCTTGTGTTCTTCCCCTCCCATCCTGCTCCTCCCTCCCCTCCTCCCGCGTCAACTCCCTCTTCCTTCTCCTCCTGCCCCTCCTCTAACTCGCGGCGGGGAGCTCGGGAGATCAAGAAGCCCACGCACTGGCTGATGGGCACTTGCAAGAAGATACTGGAGGAGCTGAACCCCAAGGCGCGCGGGTAGCGCGAAGACTGAGGGCAAAATGGATGGCGGGGGGGATGATGATGATGAGGAGGAGGAGGAGGAGGAGGAGGAGGAGGAGGAGGATACAGCTGATTCGAGAGTACAGCTCCTCTATGCCATCATGATAGACCATACAGCTAATCAGAGAACATCGGCCCCTCGAGGGCGTGCTTGTTTCTCTCGGCACGGCCATCCCTTTGCCATGGTCTGGTCCTGAGGGCGAGGGGCAGATCGAGCCATCGGACCTCTTTCCTCGTACCTCCGGCCCCTACCTCCGCCAAGATGGGGGGACGGGGGTCGGGGGCAGCGCTTGAGGGGCTAGGCCCGGGGGGGGGAGAGGGGGGTGGGGGGTCGGACGCGTCGGCCCCCCATCGCCCATTCGCCGCCGACAGGGGCCCGATGGCCCACCCCGCCCAGGGTCGTGCGGATCTGCTGTCGGGGGCCTGTCGCAGACCCAGCGGGGATTCACGCAGGTCCGGGCCCGCGTGCCCTGCCCCGCCCTGAGCCAGTGGCCCTTCCCCAGGCGCGCTGGATCCTCGTCACCAAAGAGGCACGCGCGCGTTGGCCGCCATTGAAAAAGCTCCGCTCATCTGTCGTCATATAACAAGCCGGCGCGACGTTTGGCTGCCATGAGAAACCCAGCCTCCGCCGTAAAGAAGCTGGCGTTGTTCTATCACAACCCCACGTTTTCTATGACAGCATGCTTTGAGGGGGGGCCCTCGAAAAATCGACAACCCTCGATGGGGGTGAGGCGCTTCTTCGTTTGCGCTGCAACCGGCTTGCAGGGGACGGGAAGGCAGGCACGGGCAGCCTCCGGAGGCGATGCGAAAGCCCACGAGGCACAGAGGGAGCAAGAGGCCATGAGGATGATACGCTCCCTCCCTCCCTCCCTCCCTCCCTCCCTCCCTCCCTCCCCCCCTTCCTCCCTCCCTCCCTCCCTCCCTCCCTCCCTCCCTCCCTCTCTACCTCCTCCTCCTCCTCCTCCTCCTTTTCCAAGTTTTCCGGGGTTTCCCAGATTTCCCAGAGTGCCAACGTACCAAACATCCGCAACTTCCAGAATGTCCCAGATGCCCAGGAAGCTCAAGGTTTTCAGGATTTCCCAGATTTCCTGCTCTTCACCGGCTTCGCCGCTGGGTGCGTCCTGGGCGAATTGATCTTATCACGACATGATTCTCTCCCTATGGAAAGGAAACTCGACGGCCCCCCTCTCAGGGCACGGGTCCACGTGCATACACTCCGTCCCTTTCACCACAGTGTAGTTTGCCGCGAATTCCGGCGAATTCCTCTTTCCCCCTCCTCTTCGTCCATCTCCCCGCGCGGGAGGAGGACGAGGAGGAGTGGCGGGGCGGCGGAGCGGGGGAAGGAATTGGAGGAAAATCGCGAGTCGGGGGCGGTGAGGAGGAGGAGGAGGAGGAGGAGGAGGAGGAGGAGGAGGTGGTGGTGGACAGCACAGACATACAGCGGCCTTTTTTGGACACGCATGTTCTCCCAGAATTGTCTCCAGGCCCGTTGTTCGTACCAGAGTTTCTCTGATGGTCCCAGGGCCTCGGTGCCTGAGGACACCCCGGGAGGCTGAAAATGGCGGATGACCTCCGCGGTGTTGTTTTGATTCCAAACGTCGGAGTTCAGCTGGCAATATTGTGAAGGCCTTACGGCCAGCGCCGCCGACCCTGAGGTCTGTACTTCTCCTAGGATCCCCGCTGCCGAACCCCCCCGGAGAGGGTGATCTCTGGGTCTGGTTGTCCACGGGGGAGGCGGGACGAGGGGTTTTGAGTTCCCCTTGTCCAAGGGGGGACCACCCTGCTGTCCCTGCCCCTTGTGCGCAAGGGGGATTGGGGGTAGAGGGGGGGTGGAGGGGGAGAGGTTCTGCTGAAACTACCTGTTCAGGCATCTGTTCCTGGACGTCTCCAGGGTCTCACCGTGCCGTCTTCCGAGCCACGGCCAGCCGCGGTGGCAAGACCAGCCGGAGATTCCCCAGGGCCTCTCGAACGGCGCCCTCCAGAGACTCCTTCCTCTAGCATGCTCTCTCGGGGGCTCCAGCAAGCGGGGGTGGATGAGGAGCAGGAGCATGAGCGGTGGTTTGGGTAACAAGCAGGGACATAGACATACATATTCTAGACGCTTCGCGTAACCCCATCAGACCGGACGTTGTGACCGCTCCTTGTGGAGCCGCCGAACAAAAAAGTACCCCCATCAGCCCATCCAGAAACGATGCCCAGAGGAAGTGCCTCGGGAAGTGGGCAGCACACAGAGGAAGGGTCCCCCAGTGGAGGCCTCTTGGAGTCTTGGGGGCCTCTTGGCGGTCCCGGACGCCTCTTAGAGCGTCTTGGGTGCCTCGGAGAGCTTCTTGAGGCCCATTGGGGGTCTCTTGGGGACCTCTTGGAGGCCTCTGGGGCGCCTGTTGGGGCCTCCTGGGGCCTCCTGGGCGCCTCTTGGGGCCCTCTTGAAGCGCTCTTGGGAGCCTTGGGAGCGCTCTTGGAGCCCTCTTGGGCCATCTTGGAGTCATCGTGAAGCCTCGGATGGTCATCGGAAGCGAAAAGGCGAGAAAGCCCAACACATTGATTTTCCGCAGGTTTTGGACGGATTTGGGCCTCTTCGGGGCTTCCTGGGGGAGCTCTTTGGCCACTTAGAGCCGTCTTGAATCGGTCTCGGGGCCTCTTGGAGCATCGTGGGAGCCATCTTGAGGCATCTTGGGATATCTTGAGCCATCTTGGAGGTCATCTTGGGCTCTCCCAGGCGCTCTTGGAGTCATGTGAAGCAGTGCCCTCCCCCCCCCCAGGAGGCCCAAATGTGTCCAGAACCTTAGTAACATCAATCATGTTGGCAGTCTCGCCGAGGCCTCTTGGCGCGTCTTGGGTGCCTCTGAGAGGCCTCTTGGGGCCTCTTGGGGGTCTCTTGGGAGCCTCTTGGGGGCATCCTGGGGGCCTCTTGGGGGCTTCTTGGGGCCACATGGGGCCATCTTGGGGCCATCTCGGGGCCTCTTGGGGCCTCCTGGGCGCCTCTTGGGGCCATCTTGGAGGAGATCGATCACAGCAGGGGGGGACTCAATTAGCCCCCCCCAATCAGGAGGCCAAAATGGGGCCCAAACCCTGGTGAAACAAATGATTTTGGCTTTCTCGCCGAGGCCGTTTTGGACGCTCCAACGCGGCGGGGAGACCCCCGTCGAGGTCCAGGGGAGGGGGTAGGGGGAGGGGTCAAGACTTCCTCCCCGTCCGCAAGCTGTCTCGCTCACTCCCACCCGCCCTCCCAACACATACGTAGCACCCGAGCCTGGCCCCAGCCGCAGCATATTCAGCAGTCGTACTGGGGGCGAATCCGCCGCCGCAGCCCGCCGCCCGCCGCCGCCGCCGCCGCCGCCGCCGCGTCGCCGCCGCCGCCGCCGCCGCTGTCCGCCGCCGCCGCCGCCACCGCGCCACCCGCCGCCCGCCGCCGCCGCCGCCGCCGCTGCCCCCGCTGCCTAATCGCCGCCGCCGCAGCCGCTGCCGCCGCACCGCTGCCGCCGCCGCAGCCGCTGCCGCCGCCGCTGCCGCCGCCGCCGCCGCCGCCGCCGCAGCCCCCGCCGCCGCCGCCGCCACCGCCGCCGCCACCGCTGCAGCCGCTGCAGCCGCTGCCCCCGCTGCAGCCGCCGCCGCCGCCAAGTGTACTGTGTATTTGTTCACAGGGATGGTATGGGGGAGGCCGCATCGGGTTCGCTGCGCATGCTCCGAATTTGGAGGCAGAGTGTGTTTTGCATTGTTTTTTTACAAGGGATGGTGGGGGGGCCGCTTGGTCTCGGGTTGGCTCCCAGTCGCCTGGGGGAGGGGGTGTATATTAATAGAGAACAGTGATAAACCCCTCCCCGAATGGGAAGAAGGAGGGGCAAAAGAGGAAACACTCTAGACCACCTACGCTCCAAAGGCTGGTGGGATTCGGAGGTCCGCGCAGATTTCTCGGCATCGGCGCCGGGGCTCCCCAGCGGCGCCTCCGGCACCGCTTTCGTGCGCGCTCGGCCGATCCGAAAAATCGGCGCGGACCTCAGAAAGCATGTACGTTCATGTCACCGCTTGTTTTCCTAAAGTGGGCTGTGCGCCGACGGCTGCGGAGGCGCGGGTGCTCTACGGCCGGGTTGCAAGCGCCTGGTAGTATTTGATCAGGCTTGTTTTGTGTAGGTGCATTGTGCTGCATGTTTCGACAGCGTCTTAGCAGGAACGGTCCAAGGTCGAGAACATGGGTATGGCATGTTCGCGTCGTGCTTTTGAGGATTGCACGCCGTTGGTTCCCAAGAGTCGACCAGAATGAATCGATCTGGCGCTCGGGATTACGCCGGTCCTTCAAGGCTGAACGATCCACGCGGTGTCAGAATCCAGCGCCGAGATCGTCACGACAAGGAGGACAAAGAACTTTCGGCGCGAGCCGAACAGCTGAGCAATTCAGAACCTGCAGCGTCGTGTTCATCGCTCGCTTCCCACCTGCATGCGCCGAGCAAACCTGCGAAATCAAACAGGGGCCGTGCAGCACCCTCGAGCGTTCTGAATCGAATTGCTTCTGGTTTTCACCGCCGCATGTTTGGAATGCGAGACCAGACAGGGTATATCCCCATGCGATCGTCCCAGTCGTTATCCATTCAGGTTGGTTGGATTCGACTTGTTCCAGCGATGCAAAGCGGCCCGATGCTTGCATGGTACAGTTGCGAATCCCGGCTCTGCCGATCCGATTGCTTGCGTTTCCGTACCGATGCCGCCCGATTCGATGCACATTTAGATGCGAACCATTTCGCCGAGCCGATGTTGATGGATCAGACAGTGGCGACACGTGGATCAAACAGTGGTGGGGCGCTTTGGCGAACCTCCAATGGTTTGCGCGGAATGTTCTTGGAACATTTTTGGCGGAGGCCGTATTGTGTTGACACATCGTTTTTGCAAGAGGAAATGCTGAGAACGCTGGTTTCGCTCTGGAAACATCTTATTTGAGGTTGTAAACCTACAAGAATGCGAGGACGGTAGACCACTATTCAAGATCAGCCACGCGCAGAAGAATAATAAGATGAGGCGGGGGGGTTAACTATTTTCTGCTCTCCATGGTGCTCGGGCCTCGCCTATGAATGTAGAACCCGCGCCTTCTGAGAAGCAACCTCCTGAATAACTTGTCCCCTTTTTCCCCTTCCTCCCTTGGACGCGCCGCCAACAAGAGGAGGAATCATTCTCACGGGCCTTGTGTGTTCCTGCGCGCACACCGAGGCGCCCGCCCTGCTATTCTGGAAGTAGCCCCGCCGCGACTGGAAGCGCGATACGACTGCCTCGTCCGTCGTGATGTCTATCCGTCCTTCTTTTGTTGTCGGAGGTATGGCGAGGGGAAAGGTCCGAAAGCGGGGCCGGCCCAAGGCGGGGGGAACATGTCGAGCTGGAATCGGCAGGGCGAGCTTTGCGGCGGGCGCGGCCACGACGTCCGCCGCAGCGCACCCCCCCCCCCCCTTGTCCCCGCAGGCGCCCGAGGCGCCCGCCGAGCCTGCGGCCACCGCTCCGCACGAGGGCGGCGAGCCCGGCGCCAAGCGCCGCAGGGTGGACGAGGCGGCCCCCGAGGCGCCCGCGCCTCCGTCGCGCGGCGCCGTCGCCGCCGTCCTTCGCCGTCCTTCGGTGCCGTCGTTCCGGCGCCGTCGCCGCCGTCGTTCTTCGGAGGACGCGCGCAGTAAAGGGGGCGATTAATGGGGGGGGGGGGCAGCGACGGCTGCCAGAAAGGCGCCCCCCAAACGGAGCTTCCTCCAGGGCCGAAAGGTGCACCTTTCTTCCCTCCCCCTCATTTATCGCCCCCCTTCAATAAGCGGTGCCCAGGTTCCGGCGCCGTCGGCGCCGTCGCTGTTCATCGGACGGCGCCGTCGTTGGGCGCCGCGGCCGTCGCCGTCGGACGAGGCGCCCAGGACAACGCCCCGCAAGGCATTGCGTGCTGGCCGTGCGGGGCGTTCGGTCCGCGCCGGTCTGCAGGGTCTGCCCGGGAGTGGTCTGAGGACGGGTGGTGTTGGGCAGGGTCTGTCCAGGGTCCCCAGCGCACCCAGATCGCCGAGCCTTCGAGCAGACTCTAGGCCTCCTGGATGGGGTCCGGGTAGATGGGGTCGGAGGATCGCGCCGCATCGCCGATGCATCGGCGATGCGGCTCGATGCGGGGCCCGAGTTGCTTCACGTCGACGTCGTCGATGCATCGCCGGCATCGACGACGCGTCGCTGATGCATCGCCGATGCATCGCCGATGCATCGCCGATGTATCGGCGGTGCGGCGCGTTCCTCCGACCCCATCTACTCCGACCCCATCTAATCAGGAGCGAAAGAAGGACGTACATGTACATGAATCCACGCTGCTTTCGAGAGTACGCATTGCGCAAATGTTCGTATAACGCGGCCAGTCTCGCGAATCGAGGGGCCGTGTTCATGTACATAGCTGGGCGCGTACGTCCTTTGTGGGCTCCCTATCTAGGAGGCCTCTGCAGACTGGGGTCGGGGTCGGGGGCAAGGGCGGGGGGCCCCGGAGAAGGCATGGGCCTTTCCAGGAGCCCTCCCCGCCTTCGAAGGAGCCTTGTCGTAGGATTGCAAAAAAACCCTTTGAATGAAGGATTGCAAAAAAAACCATGGGATTTTTGCAATCCTTCGTTCAAGTGAGGGCAAGGGCGGGGGGCCCCGGAGAAGGCATGGGCCTTTCCAGGGGCCCTCCCCGCCTTCGAAGGGGCCTTGTCGTGGGAGCGTCGGGGCCCTTGGCGGAGCAGGTTCTCGCAGGCGGCGTTTCGCCTCCAGCTCGCGTCTTTCCCACCAACACCCACGTTGCTCCGAAAAGGATCGGGAGGGACAAAAACACACACAAAGGCACGATGAATCGACGACTCTCCAGAAAAGATGGGGAAATACGGGACGTGGGGCAGAAGACAAAAACCCAGAAAAGATGGGAAACATATGGGGAATCCTGTTACTCGTGTCTATTTTATGTGTGTGTGTGTGTGTCCCAGGGCCTCTTCAAAGGACGGGAACTCGGGTACACTCCTCCAGGGTGGTTGCTCGAAAGCTCCCTTGTCCTGTATCTCCGACTTGGATCCCAAGTTTTTTGTCAATTCGAAAACCCCACGAAGCCTGGTAGAAGTATGAGTCGACGTATTCCCTGTCAGTTTCCGCCCAGGACTCCAGCGAGCCCAGATCTCCGAGCCTTCGAGCAGGAGACTGATTTTTACGGGTCAGGCGAGAACCTGGGCAACCTCAGGATAGCCTGATTTTGTTTGTCGAGCGGGCACACGTGGGGCTGCCTGGCACCTCCATCCTACCCGCTTGCCGGACAACGGGGGCTAGCCGAGAAATAAAAATAGCTTGGCTAAGAACCCAACCCCGTTCTAAACAGGAGGCGGCTACAAGCATGACCGCTAAATACGTACACGAGAATACGTGGAGGGAGCTGCAGTGAGCCTGAACGATCTGCAAGGGACCTGGCTATGGTGCCCCGAAGCGTGTTATGGGTGTCTGGGAATATGGTGGAAGGCGGTATGCGAACGCTGCCGCTGGGGCCTTCGATGGAGCTCCCCGGGGGCCACGAAACGTATGAGGGGTGTGCCGAAATGGTCGGGGGGCGGTATGCGAACGCTGCCACTGGGGCCTTCGATGGAGCCCCCCACGAAACGTGTGAGGGGTGTGCCGGGATGGTCGGGGGTCGGCATGCAACGCTGCCACTGTGGCCTTCGGTGGAGCTCCCTGGGGGCCACGAAACGTGTAAGAGGTGTGACGGAATGGTCGGGGGCGATATGAGAACGCTGCCATTGGGGCCTTCGGTGGAACTCCCTGGGGGAACGCTGCTATTGGGGCCTTCGGTGGAGTTCCCTCGGGGCCACGAAACGTGTGAGGTCTGTAGCAAGACGGTGATAATGAGCTGTACGACCACCCTTCGGGTGATAAGGATGTTGTAGGGGGGGGAGAGAGGGGGGGACCAACATCTGATTCAATCGGTCTCACTATCGATCTCACTCAACGGGACACCACGGGACACCACGGGACATTTGTCGATCTCACTATCGATCTCATTATCGATCTCACTCAACGGGACACCGCGGGACACCGCGGGACACCTCTCAATGTCATGATCGGTCTCATTATCGATCTCACGATCGATCTTACTCAACGAAACACCAGAGGACACCGCGAGACACTTCGGGACACCACATCGATCTCACTATCGATCTCACCATCGATTTCATTCAACGGGACGCCACGGAACACCACGGGACACCTGTCGATCGAATTATCGATCTCACTATCGATCCCATTTTTTCGGACACCACGGGACACCACGGGGCACCACATCGATCTCAGTATCGATCCCAGTATCGATCTCATTATCAATCTCACTCAACGGGACACCACGGGAAACCACGGGAAACCTGTCGACCTCACTATCGATCTCACTATCGATCTCTTTTTTTGGGACACCACGCCACGGGACACCTCGGGTCACCACATCGATCTCACTATCGATCTCACTATCGATCTCACTCAACGGGACATCACGGGACACCTCCGGACACCGCGAGCCACCGCCGGACGGACGGACGGACGGGCGGGTGGGGAGAATCAGTTGTCTTTTTTTCGCCCTAGCAACGGCGACACCACGGGACACCGAGGGCCACCGCCGGACGGGCGGGCGGGGGAGAATAATTTGTCCTGACTTCGCCCTAGAAACGGCGGGTTCATTCCTCTCGCGCGCCCACGCAGCTTCGCCTCGCTCGCACGCACGACACGAACGAAACAAAACGATTTCCCGGTTGGGGGTCTCCGTCCCACTGCGATCTCACCCCCCAACCTCCGATAGTGATGGTGGTGATGGGCAGAGGGAAGAGGAGGATCGGGAAGTGGAGCGAGGAGTGAGGAGTGATGATGCTGACGAGGATGATGGGGGGTGGACAGAAACCCCAACAGTGACACGTCGATTAGTGAATTGTCCGTTTTCGGTTCTCGACAGGGCGCCGTGGCCGTTATTTTCCAGGCTTGCGCCCGCCAGGTGTTGGCCTCAGGTCGTTTTCACTAAACCACGTTTTACTAAAGGGGGGTCTGCCCATCCCCGAGATGAGGAAAAGGAGGAGGAGGAGAAGGATGACGAGGACGAAAAGGAGATGCGCGGCACTGCGAATTCAAAACGAGGACCCAACTCCACAGGAGGGTTGGGGAAAACAGATCTCAATATTGGGGTCGGGGGAGAAGAGGCGGGGGGGCGCCTGAGAAGGCGAGAAGGCGTGGTCCCTCTCAGAAGCCCCTCCCGCTTTCCGACTGGGAGATCGACTACAGAAATGATTTGCCCCCGTGTGTTTCCCGTCGAATCTATGACTCACACTTAGAGCCTGATTCTACGCATATGAACAGAACAGCTCGGGAGGGGAATCCCAGGGCGGGACCTAAACGGTGTTTTGGCGATTTCGTGGGCCGTTTTCGTCTCGGCTTCGTTTTGCGGTAAAGGCGGATTGAAGACAAAACGAGGGAAAACGAACACAAAACGAAAGCGAAAAACACCGTTGAGTTTCAGCCCTGGGAAGTCCATCTTGGGGGTAGATCTACTCTGGCACTCGAGCCCTCAGAGCGGCCCTCTCGTGGGAGCGCTGGCGGCCCTTCCCCGAGAGAGGCCTCCGCGGCGCGCCTCCCCTGGGAGGGCCGCCCCGCCCCTCCACCCCACCACCCTTCTCGTGGCTCGCCGCCGGGCTGTGGCCCTCGCGGTGGCCAGGCGATCGCAGACGTGGATCCAGGGGGCGTGGATCAGCGACGGGTCCCGATTCCATGGGAAGTCGCGGATCATTGCCGCCGAGCGAGGAGGCACCGGCCGCATCTTGGGGAGGGCACCTCCCCCGATCCATGGATTCGGCGACCGTGCGCCAAATCCATGGATCGCTGATCCATGTTTGCGTGCCCCCGAGATGGTCTTGCTCTATGTACATCGAGCAGTGGCGAAGCGTTCTGACCTGCCTGCAGGCCCGCCAAAGGATGCTCTGAGAACCTTCTGTGGGCCCCGCGACATGGTCTCAGAGCACTGCTGGCTGAGCCTGTCTTGGTTCAGGTCATCTGACTTCTACTCTGAGAGCGCTGTTTTTGTTCTTACAAACACTCGTTGGTTTCAAGAACACTCGTGGTAGTTCATTCGTTCGCAAGCCATGTCGCACAACACATCGGTCGGCTCAGCAGGGGAAAGTGCTTGCCGCGCAGGATCAGTGGCAATCCGATGTCACACCTGAGCAAACATGAGGTCAATGGCGAGGCCATATTGTTCAACAACTGCTTTCCATGTTGGCTGTCCATGCGCTGGAAAACGAGGGTGCTTGAACAATGCACGAAAAGCTTCGTAGTAGGCCTATAGTAATGCCCGGACGGCCTATAGTAAGAGTATTGGTAGGCCTATAGTGATAGGGCTATAGTATTGCTTGGACGGTCGGTCCCTGCTCAAATACATTCAGGACGCTGAAATTGTTCTCGCCGTTCTTTGGGTCGTCCCGTTGTTGTTCTTCCTGGCGCTCCTCGTGCACCCCTCGATGCCGAAAAAGGGCCTCGTTCCTTGTCTAGCGTTTCTTATTGCAGCAGCCCGACTGTATGTGAGATAGGTTTGTTCCTACCAGGCCATTCCATGCCTTGTACGGGTTTCGCCAGAGTCTCTCGCGACGGATCCACAGGAACCAGGCGGGCTTCATGCTTCGACCGGGTCTCGAGCTCCTTGTCTAAAGTTCTTTATTGCAGCAGCCCGACTGTATGTGAGCTAGGTCCGCGTCGGGCCGACCAGCGGTGACCCCCGCTGGCGTTCAACGTTGAACGCCGCCGGCGACCCAGAATTGATCGATGTTGAACGATCTGACGTTCCAGAAACGGCCGATCGTTCAATGTTGAACGATTCCCGCGGTGTCGGGAGCCAACACGAGCGTCGACACGACACGAACCCGAGGTATCAGTGTCAGCTCCAGCTCATGTGGCATTTTGGGATTGCGATCGGGCTGGCGCAGCGCCACGCCGTCTGGACGTTGGCTGTCTCGTGCCTTGCTGTCTCGCGTCTCGCCTCGCAGTCGGTTCTTCTCTCTCTTCTCTCTCTCTCTCTCTCCCTCTGTCTCTCGTTCTCTTTTTTTGTTATCCTCTCTCCCTCTCGCTCTTATTAGGCGTCGCACGTGCTTGTGAAAGGTGCCGTTCTGCCCTGCTTGTTTCAAGAGGCGTACGCCATCCCGCCGACCCCCAGAAGGAGTGAGGGCCTGCCACGAAGCCTGTCGGGGGCGTGTCGGGCTCGTGAGGGCATGTAGGGTGTTGCGTTCGTTGAGGCCTCTGGAGCCTCGTGAGTGTGCGTGTTCGGGATTCTCGGAGGCGCGTCCGAGACCACGAATGAGGGCGACGTTGAGATATGAGAGAGCAAGGAGAAGGAGAGGGGAGGAGGAGGAGGAGGAGGAGGAGGAGGAGGAGGAGGAGGATAAGGGGAGGATCGGGAGGAGGTGGATGATACCTAGGCTTGGTGCTGTTCTGCCCTGATTGATTTACCGAGATCGACTTGCCACGGGGATTCGTGTTTCGCACATGCTCGCTCGGTGTTCACTCCATTCCTGTGGGGGGGGAGCTCGCGAGACTCAGTGTGCGAGCACGAGAGTGTCCTAGCTCAACAGGAAGCACTACATTCTGGCTCGACGTGCAGCGGCGTTGTGCTGAGAACGCCCTGCGAAAGCTGCTTTGTTCTTTGTGCGAGACCACGGGTTCAGCAGTCGATATGTTTTGCCGGTCGTCAACAGCCATCTGGTGGTCATGTTTGGGATGGTGTTGTTGCATTATGTGTTTGAGTTCGTCGTTGTTGGGCAATTCTGCATTTTTGGTTGGCACAGAGTGCGTCGTTCATCATATCTGACATGTTTGCTTTGTGGTGGGTTCTAGCGTTGGCTTGCAAATGCATTGCGTCTGTAACATTACTAGCTAAGAGGTTCAGTCCAAATATGGAGCGCAATTGTGCTTCGTCGAGTTCTTATGTGCGCTTCGTTAATTTTGCTGTATGTCATGTGTTTTACCACTATGTTGCACCGTAGACGCGCTCAGCCGATTCCTGCTGCACGATGTTTTACAACGGTTGCGGCGGCACTGAGCACTTACAGTCATGTGTTTACAGTCGATAACTCTCAAGCAATGGTGTCAGAGCGGCGTTAAGTGTGGCAATGGCCAATCATGCCAAAAGCTGGTGATGTCGTGCGTGTACTTCGTACGTTGTCGATCTTGATCGGTGTGCCTGTTATCACCACGCATGCTGATCGGTCTAGCATTCTTAACTAGTATTGAATGATAGTGTTTCTGCATGTTATTCTCAAAGGGCACAGGTGCTGACATAAGTCAGGAAGGTGGGCGAGGAACCGTAAAGCTGAGTGTTTTCCGTTCTGGGCGGGAAGGTGAAGGTAGCAACTTCGGATTTGGTTGCATTTTATTCCCATTGCTACAACCAGTCAAGAGCAGGGTCGACATCCATCCTCCCAGGTATCGTAATCACGTTCGCAGTCACGTTGACCAGTCGAGCGTCAATTACTTTTGCAAGCTCAGGTTGCAATCGCGCTGCTCAGCATTAGTTCTGAACCGTTTTCCGTCCCCCGCCATGGCGATCGACCTGCGGATGACCGGTTTTCAGGACAGCCTGGAGAAAGCCATGGACCGGGTGCGCGTGGTGCTCGACGCGGCAAAGTGCCCCTGCTTCGCCTCGGATGTACACCACCAGTACTCCGACAAGTACCTCCTCGCCGAGTTCATGACGCGCGCTGCGATGGCCTCCCAGGTGAATTGCCTGTCAACGCTGGGCCTCGATGCCGAGAAGCTCTCGCGGCTTCGTGCCTGGGCGGCATTGCAGGCCGTTTCCCTGGAGTTCACCGCCGAAGAGCGCTGCGGTTTTGCCCGGGAGGAAACCCGAGAGGTGGCGAGTGCGACGAAGGTTGTGGATGAGGTGTCCGTCATGGGCTCGGTCCGAAGCGCGCTGACCAGCAAGGTTGTCACCACAGTCACGGAGTACTTCTGGACCGTTTCGGTCTCCTACAGCTTGGTAGCCGTGCGAGGCGCGGGGGCTGCGGCCGACGACCGGTTGGAACTCTTTGCCCGAGCGGGCAGCGAGGAGTTGAAGACGACATCGAAGTCGGCTCCTCGTCCAGAGATGTTGTCGCATCCCAAGCTCAGCGTTAATGTCAGCTGGCTGGTGCTGCACCTCTCAGACTCTGCCACGCCCTGCTTCAGCATCGACCGCGTGCATGGTAAGTGCCACACGCCGCGTCGCAACAACGACGTCGGGGATGCCCTGGAGCATTTCTCGCGCGTGGCGGCGTGGGCGCGCAACGTTGCGGCGTACCTGCAGCGCCTCTTTGACATCCCGCTGGACAAGGCTTCTTGGGACAAGGGCGCCATCGGCCGCGACCAGCCACTGATACCTGTGCTCCCCCTGCTGCAGGAACGACACGGGGGCGAGGATGGCAGCGTGGCAGCCGACGACCGCGCAACCCCGGCTCCGGCAGGGACCGCGGGTCTCGTCGCCACCGTTGGCCCCGCCACGGAGGGCCTCTCGGGCAGCGCGCTCTTGGGCCTCTCCGACATGAACCTCTTGCTCGAGGAGGAGGCGCGGGCCCTGCGGCAGAAGTCCGCCGCGCTGGCGGAGGCCCTCCCCAGCGCCGACGGCGGACGCCTCGCCACCGCCGCCGAGGCGAGGCTTGCGGCCACGCTGGCGCACTGCGCCTCGGTCTGCAGTCAGTTGGCAGCCGCCATGGACTACATCGAGAGCATGCTTCGGAGTCAGCTCGTCGCTGCCATCGGCAAGGAGGTGACGCCAGCTACCTTCGCGGATTACATGAGGTTCCACTGCCGTCGGCTCTTCGCTGCACCGTACGCCCCATCGCCGTTTTGCTTCGCGGTGCGCCGCTCCGAGGGTCACTCGCCCGAGGGCACCGTGAGCATCGAGCAGGAGCCTCGCGACCCAGGCGCTGAGTCCAGCATTGCCGAGCCCATCGTGACCATGGTCGCGCGGAGCGAGAGGTCCCACCCGATGCAGTTCCCCCTCAGCGCCTCCGCCAACGTGACCTTCAAGGGGGACCGCTACCTGCATGCCTGGCTCAGCCACCAGTTCACTGGGCACGCCAACCCCAAGCTCGCACTGGTCTCCAAGGCACGCCAATTCAGTTCGATGATCGTTATGGTGGGCCGCATTGTCTCGGCAAGCGTCTTCGAGCCGAAATGCGCGGCCATTGTTCAGAACAAGGACGAGCTCAGTATACCCCTAGAACTGTCCACGATCCCGACGCCCAAGGAGTTCAGGGACGCTATCGAGTCGTTGTCGCCAGAGCAGCAGCGCTTCGCCAAGGCTTTCCGCGCCATGCAGCTGGAAAGCACGCTCTTCGGCGTCCTCGTGATTCAGATCAAGCCGCAGCTCGAGAAGGTGCTGAACCTTCCGGAGGACAGCCTCGCGAAGGAGATAAAGCTAACGCAGGACTTGATGCAGCTCTTCATCAAGTATCGAAGACTCCTACGGCGAATCACCGCCACCCCTGGCCTTTTTGGAAGCGCCTGTGTGGCCGGAAGTTGGGCAGGAGTTTGGCCGAGCTATCGGATCATGTGGTACCCCAGCCGTGGAGCACGTGAGGAGGAGGAGAATGAGAAGGAGAAGGAACAGGGAGGATGAGGAGGAAAAGAAGGAGGAGGCGTATCGAGTATCCACTGGCCTTCGGCCCATCCTGCCTGCTGCTTCGGGGCCCTCGCGGCCCGTTCTGCGGCCCCCCTCGGGCCCGAAGGGGTCGATGCTAGAAGACGCGCTGGGCCCCGGGAGGCACGCCGGGAGCCACGGGAGATTTCTCTGAGTTTTTGGGCCCCGGCCCCTCGCGCTTACGCAATCCTGTCGGGGAAACGTAAGACTCGAGCAAGCCAGAACTCGGGTGTGCCGACGCTTTTGACGAGCGCGTCCTGGATTTCGACGGTCCCGTTTTCGTGGGATGTTTGCAGCGGGAGGTCGCGACAAATTTCAGATCGGGCCTCGTCATCTTTATACATGGCCCTGTCTGGCCAACCCGTGTCCCTCGTACCCGAGTCTTACGTCTCCCCGATCCTGAGGGCGGAGGGCTGAGTCCCGAGGAAATTCCCCTTCGTGCCTCGAGGCACGCTGGGAGCCACGGGAGATTTCTGGGAGTGTTGGGCCCTGGACCCTTACGCCTCCTCAATCCTGAGGACTGGGGACTGAGAATCTGCCAAAAGAATACACACGGGCTCCCTCGAATGGACTGCTCCTGGGCCTCAGGGGAGGGTGGTGGTTTATCAACCACCTCTGAGAGCCAGCGACTTTCTGCATCGTCGCCCTCCCTAAAGGTGCGTGCAAAGTTCGTCGGAGGGTGTCAGTGTATATATTTCCAAAGGGGAGGAGGATGAGGAGGAGGAGGAGGAAGAGGACAAGGAGGATAATGATCAAGAGGAGGAAAAGGAGGAGGAGGAGGAGGAGGAGGAGGAGGAAGAGGAGGAGGAGGAGGAGGAGATGTGAGGGGGAGGAGGAGGAGGAGGAGGAGGGAGGAGGAGGAGGAGGAGGAGAAGGAGGAGGAGGAGAGGAGAGGAGATGGAGGGAGGAGGAGGAGGAGGAGGAGGAGGAGGAGGAGGAGGAGGAGGAGGAGGAAGAACGCCGCAATCGTAGGATTAAGGTTTGGTCAACGCTAATAGGGAGGAGGAGGAGGAGGAGGAGGAGGAGGAGGAGGAGGAGGGGGAGGAGGTGGAGCAGGAGCAGGAGGAGCAGGAGCAGGAGGAGCAGGAGGAGGAGGATGATGAGGAGGAGGAGCCTAGAACCCGAGGCCACTCGAGCTCGTGCCTCGAGGCGCGGCTGGCGGATCAGATTCCCAGCGACCTGCTCTCCTTCGACGCCTCGACCTTCGCGCGGGCCCAGGCTGCGGCCAGGAGTTGTAGCCTTGCCTGCATGATAGCCCACATAGTAAGGATGGACAACCTTTCCAAGGGTACCCTTGCATCCTTGCCTCCTTGGTCCATCCTTTGCCGTTTTCATTGGCCGCGCCCCGCTCGAAAAGCTTCGAAATGGGCGTCCAAGGCCCTTGCATCTTTATCGCGCATCCTTACTATACTGGTTGACTGTAGGGAAACAAACAAATAAGCAGAGCAACTCGGAGGTCCGCGCGGAGTTCTCGGATCGGCGCTGGACCCCCGTTCTTGGCGCGCAGAGCGCGCCAGGGGCGGCGCCGGAGGCGCCGCCAGGGGGGTCAGCGTGGATCCGAGACATCCGCTCAGACCTGCCAGCTGTTATGTTTATGTCATTGTTCGTTTTCCTGTACATGACCACCCTTCGGGTGATACGTAAGGGGGTTCGGGAAGGGCGGGAGGAACCGACGTCTCAGTCAGTCGATCTGCCGATCTCGCTTTCGATCTCGCTGTCGAGCTCACTATCGATCTAACCATGGATCTCACTGTCCGCTCACCTCCGAGCCACTGCGCCCTGGGCCTTCTGAGAAGGGGCGCTCAAAGGCCGAGGGGCCGTGGAGAGGGGCAACAACTTACGGCCTCTCTCGGTCAGATAAGTAGGCGTCCATGCCCACTGCGACTCCGGTTTCTGGGGGGAAGACCGAGGTCCAAGACGCAGTGGGTATGGCTACATACACTCCGGAGGAGAAATACACACGCAGACGCAATTCATCGTCGTCTCCCGGGAAGTGGAGGGGAGACGAAAACCCAGTACAGTGGAAGCCCATGCCAAGAAACACCATGCTTGCCTCCAGGGTGCCCTGGGTTTCTTGGGTTTCGATGGTTTTGCTATGGAAAGCGTGACGTTCCCACACCAAAGATCAATGGACGTCCTGGGGTCTCAGGGTTGGGGTTCTTGTGGCAGGCTTCTTGTGGTCGAGCTCCTGCTGCACTTCCCTGGCTACGCAGCCTCCCCGCCCAGGCCCCCGGCGACGCCTCGACCTCCGCGCCGGCCTGGGTCGCCGAGGCGGCCCGCGGCGAGCTGGTGGGCGGCGCCACGGCCTCGGAGCGCCTGTCGGCGGTCCGGGAGAACGTCAAGGCTGGGCCTCGGCCGCGCGCAGAGGGGGGTTTGGCTACCCAGGCATGGTCGCGTCGTAACAAAATCAGGACGGCAAGTTTTTCGCTGTTTTCGTCCCTTGGGGGCCCTTACGGGGCCTCGGGGCCGTCAAAAACGACTCAGAATGAATAACCGGCCCCGGTGAAAGGGTTTGGATTTCCGGGGACGCCGTCCTGAAAAAATCAGGACGTCGCATGTCTGGGTAGTCTAGACCTCCCAGATGGGGTCGTCACCGCACCGCCGATGCATCGCCGATGCGTCGGCAACGCGTCGGCGATGCGGCTCGATGCGGGGCCCAATATTCTCCACGCCGACGTCGCAGGTGCATCGCCGACGTCGCCAGTGCATGGCCGATGCATGGCCGATGCATCGCCGATGCATTCGCGATGTATCGCCGATGCATCGGCGATGCGGCGTGATCATCCGACCCTATCCACTCGAACCCCATCTTGGAGGACTCTAGGCATGGGGAGGGCGGAAGGCTTCTGAGAAGCACCCCTGCTTCTGAGAAGACGCGGGCCTTATTTGCAGATGTAGGGCCGACGCCTTCCGAGAAGCAGCCTGCTTCTACGAAGCCTTCCCCCTTCCCCTTTCCCCCACCCCCTCGTGCGCGCCGCCAAGCTGGGTCCCCTTTGGTCATTTTCATCGGGCGGGGCCAGGACGAGAATAGATCCGCTCCAGGGTCCTGGAATGCCCTCCAGAGCAATCCGCGGGAGCGCTCTGAGAAGGCCGGCGGCACCAGAGGCATCCTCCAGTCAGGAGGGAAAAAACACACAGACACAATTAATCGTCGATTCCCAAGAAAATATTGGAAAATGTGGGAAGTGGGGGGGAGGCAAAATCCCAGAAAACATTGGAAAACATGGGAATCCTGTTATCCGTGTGTGGTTATTTGTGAGTCCCAGGGCCCCTTCCTCCAGAGCCGTCGAGTGTCAGAGTCCCCTTTTTTGTTTTTCCTGCAGCAGAGGAGGAGAAGGTACCGATACCGCTACCATGCCCGCGAGTTCCCTCCTCTTCGTGGCCTCGGAGGGCCCTCGCCGCCACCGCTGGGTTCCCCCCGAAGGCCTGGGTCGGAACGCGCCCCTGGAGAAGTCCGAGAGGTTGCGGTATTGATACCTCTTGGTTTCTCCACTTCGAGACTCGAGCATCGGGGGCGGCCAAGACCCTTCCCGCGATTTCCCTCCTCTTCGGGGCCTCGGAGGCCCTCGCCGCCACCGCTGGATTCGCCCCGAAGGCCTGGGTCGGATCGCGCCCCTGGAGAAGTCCGAGAAGTTGCGGAAGCCGGGCACGGGCTGCTAAATCCGTGGATGCTAGAATCGACCTTTGGGAAGTTGTCCTCGTCTTTCCGGGAAGAAGCCCGTTGACTGTTTCGCGTGCCGCGCCTCACTCCAGGAAGTTGTTTTTCCTTCCGGGAGGGCCGTTTTAGCAGCCACGGTTTTAGCAGCCATCGCCCAGCTTTCTAAAGTTGCGGTATTGATACCTCTTGGTTTCTCCATTTCGAGACTCGAGCATCGGGGGCGGCCAAGAGTCGGGTGATGACAACTCCGGATTTACGTATCAAGGGGGGGGGATCATTCACCTCCCGACGCAGCTAGCCCAATCACGCCCCCTCCGTCCTCCTCTCTCTCTCTCTCTCCTCCTCCTCCTCCTCCTCCTCCTCCTCCTCCTCTTTCTCCTCCTCCTCCTCCTCCTCCTCCGCCTCCTCCTCCTCCTCCTCCGCTTCCTCCAACCCCCCTCCGCTTCCTCCGGATTCGAGGGGGGGCGACGATTATCACATCCAGAGTAGTCGGGGGTGGACAGAACCCCCAACAGTGACACGTCGATTAGTGAATTGTCCTTTTTCGGTTCTCGAGAGGGCACCGCGGCCGTCATTTTCCAGGCTTGCGCCCGCCAGGTTTGGGCCCGACGTTGTTTTCACTAAACCACGTTTTACTAAAGGGGGTATCTGTCCATCCCCGAAGTAGGGGCGTGTGGAGAGCATGGGCCAGGGCCGCGATGTCTCCCCGGGTCTCGTGGCGCCTCTGCCTGTTTCCACTGCGTCCCCTGGCCCCTCCAGGGCGCCGCGCGCGGGCCCCGGGCACCAGAGCGGTTGCAGGGCAGTCCGGGGGAACCTCACGGCTGGGGCTCCTGGGGTTCCGTTTTGGGAGCCCCCAGACCAGGTTGATGGGCGTGTTTTCCACCACCACCACCATAAGTTGGAGGGGGAGGAGGTCCTCCTCCTCCTCCTCCTCCTCCTCTTCGTCCTCCTCCTCATCCTCCTCCTCCTCCTTCCCCCCTCCTGCTCATGGTGGTGGTGGTGGTGGAAAACAGGCGCATCACAGGTGGTGAGATATCAGGTGGTGACCTGGCATCCCCCAAAAGTCACCGCCGGGTTTTGGAACACGGCGTCTCCGCTGGGTTGTGATGACTCCTGGACCCCCCATCGTTCGGGACAGCCTCGGAAAAAAACAGACGAGTCCCCAAACCGGGTGGTGACACCAAATCGCCCGAGACTCACCGACGGGTGTTGTCACCACCGCGTTTGGGGACTACCAATATTTTCGAGACTCACGCAGTGGCGAAGCGGTCTGACTTTGGAGTCGGCTGGTAGTCTGAGGGTGGCCGAGCATTGGTGCTGGCCAGCAGGAATGGGGGCGAGGCTGTAGGCGCTGGCTTCGGGAGGGTTTTTCTACATCGGGCAGTGTCCGGAGCCGTGTTCGCGCTCCAGATCGATCCGTCAAAAGCCGATCCCGGGTGAAGAGCTGCACCAGATGAACCCTTGGAGGGGTCCAGGGACCGAGTATGACCAGATCCCCCCATTCTGACAGATGTCCAGGGATCCCAGCCAGTTGAGGCCCCCAGGCCGCCTCAAACCCTTTCGTTCCTTGGAAGGCTCTAGCTGCGGCGGAGCGCCCTGAATTGCCATAGTCCCACCAAATAATGTTATAAGAACCATTTTGCATTTTGCACGGAGTGTCCTCAACACATATTTGGTTGAGGCCGTGGTGGTTTCATCAATCGGTTTCAATGTTCTAAGAGCATGGGTTTTTGCTAGTAGATGTTGCTTGGCTTGCAGACGTGTCCTGGTAGGCATACTGGACTGCCGTGGCGGTCGCCTATCTAGGCCTCCCAGATGGGGTCTGAGTAGGTGTTGTCGAAGGATCGAGCAGCATCGACGATGCATCGCCGATACGACTCGATGTGGGTCCTGATGTTCTCCATGCCGATGGCGCCGCCGATGCATCGCCGACGTCGCCGATGCATCGGCGATGCGATGCGATCCTCCGGCCCTATCTACTCGGACCCCATCTTGGAGGCCCATAAGAACGACCATACCCAGAACGACAATACCCCAAAACGACCACTTTGCATTCGTTCAGGCATGCTCCAGGCATTAGTGTATAGGGTGCCAGCTTACACTTCCTACGCACGCCCAGCGACCCCACACGTCCGCCTTCCGTACGCAGGCCTGGTTCGGTTTCCCAGAGTTGTAAAGTAATCAAAGGGAAGCCAGTGTCAAGGCCATGATGGCAGTCATCGAGGACGAGAAGAAGGAGGAGCTCCAGGAGAGGACCCTGGAGGCGCGCTTCGAGGCTCCAATTTTGGACCGCGGCGTGATGATGGCAGAAAGGATGCGCTCCAGGAGGTCCGTGGCGGAGAGCGCAGTTGCAATGAAGTGCGCGGTACCGTGCAGTGCTCCTATGCCACCCATGGCAATGAGATGCGCGGTACCGTGCAGTGCTCCTATGCCACCCACGGCGGCTGCGGCGGCGGCTCCAGTGCCCGCCACGGCACAGGCGGCCCCGGGAGCGGGGTCGGCGCGACCACCCCCAGCGCAGCCGTCGCAGTGGCAGCGGCCCGCTGGCGACGGAGCTGGGGATCGGGTCAGCGAGGACGCCGCCAGGGATTACACCCGCGTGCCCAGGGAGATGGACCAGCAGTTTGAGGCCCTGGACACAGACAGCGCCCTGCGGCCCACCATCATCACCCCTGGCGACCTCTGGCGCAAGAGGTCGCAGAGGGCCCTCCTGGCCAAGCCCAGCGACGCCACCCTGGACGGCGACGAGCAGAAGCGGGAGCGTGTCGCAGCCTTCGACCTCCTCGACGCCCTGACGAAGTCCGGCGCCCTGCCCGTGGAGGCCGCGAGCCTCCACGTTCTGGTGGCTGCCACGCACTGCTTCGACAAGAGCGTCACGGACACCGTCGTCCAGGACAACGTGTCGCCCATTGAGAAGGTGGAGCGCTCTTCCTTGATCATGGCGGCCACGGTGCACCAGGTGCCAGTGGCGGCCCTGCTGGAGGGCTCGCAGCTCTCGCGGGTGCGCAGCAGCTGCCCAGCGCTCTTCGTGGAAGACGGCGAGGCGAACGCAGTGGCCTGACAGGGGCACACAGTCTCATTTTTGTGTTTTGCATTTCAGAACACCTCACAGTACGGCAAGTCCAGCAGTTTGTGTAAATCAGTCTTAGTACCCGTGCTGCCCTGGATTTGCACATTGCCTTTGATTATTATGCCAGCCAGTGGGTACTTCCAACAAGGACCTCGGAAACATACAAGGAAAACCATTAAACACAAGGGCTAACGCACTTCTGGGTTACAGTACCAGCATTGGGTGGTTGCGCGCTGGTATCCGTCGTGCAGCTTGACGGTTGTCTTTGCGTTGCTCGTTTCCGACGAACTGTTTCCCTATCCCTGCCCTCTGTGAAGAACAGAAGCTTCATGACTGCACATGTTTGGAGGGCCGCGAGGACTTCCTGACTGGGCGGGCTGACCCCCCCCCCACCCCTCCGTGCAGCCCCGGGTTGCGCTCCTGTCGCCGCCCCTGTCGCGCCAGCGCGCTCGCCCCCTGCGCGCCACGCGCGCTGGGGACGGGATGGGGGGAGGTCGGGGCCGGGCGCCGACCCCAGAAGTCCGCGTGGGCCTCCGAGCGTTTCGGCCTTCTGCTGCTGTCTGTTCGGATTCGGTGGCGAGGCATGGGGGGCCTCGCGTGCCCTCAACAGTCCACCTCTAGAGTAAACGTGGCGTGCGCTAGCGTCTGGTAATCGATGAGAAAGCGCCAGGTTAGCGTCGACTCGCGTCGGGTAGCGTCGGTTAGCATCGATGCGCAAGAGCCAGCAAGATGGCATGAGGCTCTCCCATGAGTTGCCACCGACATTTCTATCCTATTCCCGTGGCTCCCAAATCTGATGTAGGTGCAGGCTCTGACGCGATCGTGTCTCAGCTCGGTGGATTCTGCCCGCAGCAGCGGCGGCCGACTTCGGCTGGTGCGCGGCAACGTCCACGGCGAACACGCGGTGGCGACGGTGCTCCTGCAGTGGGAGAAGCATCGGCGGCGAGCCCAGGGGGGGAATGTAGAGGGGGTAGGCCTTCTCAGCCGGTTCGGAAGGCCCTGGGCCTTCAGGGAAATTGTCTAAGTTTTCTTCGACTAGAAATTGGTGTTCAGAAGGCCGGAGGACTTCTAAGAAGCCCCGCCGCCTTCTGAGAAGGCTTGCCCCGATCTTACATCACCCCGGGCGCTTCGCCGAACACAGACATTAAATGCTCGTTTGGGTGAGCTTTCTTCAAGAGACAACAAACAATATAACATTTTGTTTCTAATGTGTCTACCAGGCGCCGTTAGGGACAAATCAGCCGACTGGGTTTTGCATTGCACGTCGGCCATCCCAGCGTTCGCCCAACTCGCCCCTGGCCCGCGTGGAATCCGAAAGGCGCCAAGCGGCGCTGTCCTTTCGCCAGCGGGGTCAGGCAGGACGCGGGAACGGACAGGCGCGCGAGCGCCCGCCTAGCCTTGTCGGCGACCCCCGAGGGCCCAATACGGCAGGGCCCACTTGGCAGACCGACACCCTGAAATCTTTATACGAAGGCTTTGTGTGACAGCTGCGTTTGCTCAGTGTATACACTGTTTCTGGCCCCACCGGGCCCGGGGTGTTTCTTCGACCCCGACCCCTGTCGAATTTGAAGGGGGGTAAAGACTTTTTTGGGTGGTCGTCGATCGGGCGCCCGCGCCCTTGGCGGCCGTCGCGAACATTCGGGATCTATCATCTGGGAGGTGTCACGAGAAATTTCGCTTCCGCCAACGGACTCGCAGAACACTTCCCCTCGGGGGGCCATCGACGGCGCTGACCGGCTGGCGAGGCCGCTGGCCTCGAGGCGAGCACTCCACCAACGTAGGCATTGCGGGGCCCCGAGGAGGGGGACCACGCAATGCAAATCAACCAACAAATTTTGCGTGTGTCGGGGGGACGTAAGACTCGAGGTCGCCAGAGCTCGGATTGGCCGACGCTTTTTGACGAGTCCGTCCCAGATTTGGGCGTTCAAGTGTCCGTCGGATGCTGGCAGCAGGAGATCGCGCCAAATTTCACAGGGGGTCTCTTCATTTTCCTGACGAGCTGCTGAACCCGAGTCTTACGTTTCCCTGATTCTTGGGCCCACGTCACGGGTCTGTCTGATTCTAGCTCGATTCTTGCTCGATTCGAGTTCGACCAAGTTCGATTTCAGTCGACGGACGTTCGAGGCAGCATCGACGCATGTTGACCGAATGGCTCCAGGAAGGTCCCCAGAACGAGTATCTAACATAACCATGGTCTCCTCACTATATATCCCTTCTTCGTCTCCCTGCGGCTCGCCGGTCCAATGCAGGGTGCACAGTTCTGCCGCCCTCGTGTTTCAACCACCGATGGGTTCTGCCCGCAGCAGCGGCGGCCGACTGTCAGCTGCTGCGCTACCCGCGGCCAACACCACGCGGCGGCGACGGTGCTCCTGCAATAAGAAGAGAGAGAGAGAGAGAGACACAACATCTCCCCCTCCCATCGGTAATCAAAGCTTGGAGGACCAAGTCTACCTGCTTCTAGACATCTGTCGGCCAGTGTGGATACATCTACAAGCAACACGACCGTTGCGTCCGACGCAGTGCAAGGTTGGAGAAAGGGTAAATCCGTCTACGGCATACTCCTGTTCTAGAGCATCTCACATGGCATTACTGATCAATCGAAGAAGAAGAAGAAGAAGAATATAACACAGCATAAACACAAATTATCAGAGCTCCGCGCGATTATCGTGGTTCTCCGCTGGACCGCCCTCCCTGGCGCGCGGAGAGGCACCGCCAGGGGGCCCCAGCGCAGATCCAACAAACAAGTGTGATAATACACACGTGTACTTGTTCCCGGAAAGGGCGCAGGCTCAGGGTTCTCTTTTTTTATGTAAACATATCCCCCCGTGCCCAACTTGAAGGAGGCCGGCGGATTCTTTCCTTGATAAATATCGAGGTCGAAGGAGGCCGGCGGATTAAAATTTGAGGATGTCTCAGGCGAAACGCTTGTTTTTGAAATCCCGATCGATAAATCACAGGGTGCGGGACACCTCAGCACGACCACACCCCCAGCATGACCACACCCCAGCACGACCACGCCCAGCACGACCACGCCCCAGCACGACCACACCCCAGCACGACCACACCCCAGCACGACCACACCCCAGCACGACCACACCCCAGCACGACCACACCCCAGCACCAGCACGACCACACCCCAGCACGACCCGATCGATAAATCACAGGGTGCGGACCACCCCAGCACGACCACACCCCAGCACGACCCCACCCCAGCACGACCCCACCCCAGCACGACCACGCCCCAGCACGACCACACCCCAGCACGACCACACCCCAGCACGACCACACCCCAGCACGACCCCACCCCAGCACGACCCCACCCTAGCACGACCACACCCCAGCACGACCACACCCCAGAACGACCACACCCCAGCACGACCCCACCCAAGCACGACCCCACCCCAGCACGACCCCCAGCACGACCACACCCCAGCACCCCACCCCAGCACGACCCCACCCCAGCAAGACCACACCCCAGCACGACCACACCCCAGCACGACCTCACCACAGCACGACCACACCCCAGCACGACCACGCCCCAGCACGACCACGCCCCAGCACGACCACGCCCCAGCACGACCACCCCCCAGCACGACCACCCCCCCAGCACGACCACCCCCCAGCACGACCACCCCCCAGCACGACCACACCCCAGCACGACCACTCCCCAGCACGACCACACCGCCTTGGTTGAGTGGTTGCCTGTCGTCGTGGAATGTTTCGTGGGGTGTCTCGTGGAATGTTTCGCGGGGTGTCTCGTGGAATGTTTCGTGAGGTGTCTCGTGGAATGTTTCGTGAGGTGTCTCGTGGGATGTTTCGTGAAGTGTCTCGTGGGATGTTTCGCGGGGTGTTGCCCAGTTGGGTATCGTGAAAACGTGTCCATGCTCCACATGTCTATATCCCTTTCCGGGTTCGTGGGTCCATCATGTTTTTTTATTATGACAAGTGCACTTGTTTCTTCCTCACAAGCGCATTTTTTGTTTTACCACATGTATACGTATGTTTTATCACACTTGTTATTTATCGCACTCGTTCGCGCCGAGCTCCACGAGCAAGTGGTTCTGCGCCTGCGCCGCCGCGCTCGGGCGGTCGCCACAGAGGAGCGGGGAGCTCCTTGGGGGCCTCCTGGGGCTCCACTTTTTGTTTGGCCTCCTGTGGTGTTGGGTCCTCGTTTTGAAGAGACAGCGCCCCGTGTTCCCTCCTCCCGCTGCCCCCTCCCTCCTCCTCGCATCATCATCATCATCATCATCATCATCATCATCAGCATCATCAGCATCATCATCATCATCATCATCATCATCATCATCATCATCACCCTAATAGGCCTCCTGGGAGACCCTCGTCGCCACCGCTGGGATTCGCCTCGACATTTTCTTCACAGAGCACCCCGGGAGAGACCTGGGGAGCTCCTTGGGCTCCATTTTTGTTTATGCCTCCTGGGAGACCCTCGTCGCCACCGCGGGCTTCGCCTCGACATCTTGGTCACAGAGCACTCCGGGAGAGGTCTGGGGAGTAGCGGTATCGGTGCCTTATGGTTTCCCCACGTGGGGGCCTTTGGGGGGCACGCTGCGTTGCAGAACGACCCCGCACTGACCACCATGAGGTAGGCCATTGCCAAAAGAGGCGAAACGCGAAGCCCCTCTGTGTCCCCCACAAAGCACACCCGCCCAGTCTGAGAGGGAGAGGGAGAGAGAGAAAGGCCAGAGAGACCATGGAACGAGAGAGAGAGAGAGAGAGAGAGAGGCTGGAGAGGCCGCAGAGGCCAGAGAGGCCAGAGAGAGGCCAGAAAGGTCAGAGAGGTCAGACAGAGAGAGAGAGAGAGAGAGAAAGAGAGAGAGATCGGCGAGAGAGCCCAGCGACATCTATACATATACAACGAGAGAGCGAGAGAGAGGCCAGAGAGGCCAGGACAGAGCGACGGAGGCCAGTCCTGGAGGGCCTGCAGCAGGTCGGCGTTCGCCGCCAGCACGGGGGGGTGACCGCCGACGCCA